TCTGTTCTCCTATTCTTTCCAATACCTCTTCATTTCTAACCTTTTCTACCCACGATATCCTCATCATCCGCCTATAACACCACATTTCGAACGCTTCTAACTTTTTCTTTTCCGCCGCTCTTCATGAATTTACTCTTGATAAATAGTTTCAGTTTAATCTCAAATTACTTTACATCTAAATACGTATCCCATATGAGTTTGTTTTTCCCTGCAAGCGTTTATTGAATTGATTCAGTTCGACAGTCAAAAAACTATCTAAAGTTTGCGTTTAATCTCCATTATATTGCGAATTATTTCCTCAACTCAAATAACCATTTCAGAATGACACCTCGACTGAGCCACCTCACGACATTTGTCAACTATCTCAGCTGTGATTCACTCACACCAAGTCGGCATAGGCGGATTACCAGTTCAAGATATGCCAGTGTTAAACGAATCTCCACTAAACCAGATTTTTTTGCGTGTGGATCTTACACTTGTAGGCCGCACCGATATGATTTACGAGCATATTAACACTATATCTACCGAAGTAGTAAAACCTATTAAATAAATGAAATTACTGGTTGAGAATTCTTAAAATATTAAAAAAATCTTATTAGCCATCCGACATTTCTCGATTTGAAAATCTCCTGATTATTTGAAATTTCGAATATTCGATTCAAAATTCAAGTCGAATGGTTGGGATCATTCGCGCCTTGATCGTGAAAACAACAGCTTCTCTCAAAACATATAACTCGGGCTCCATTTGCATCCTGTGTTTTTTTTTTAATTTATCTATCTCTTTTTAATATATTTTTTTATGGATATACTTAGGATCATAAAGTTACGGTAGGAAAAGAAAGCATCCACGTCTTCTTAATTTATTTCCAAGTTTAAGCGTGGTCCAACAGAGGACAAATGATCTCTACACCGGCTCGTAAAACAATAAGTTAGCCGATAACAGTACAAACAGTAATGACGTTTTTGTAATTGTCTGATTTTTTTTGATTGGCTGCAATAACACATATTTTAAAAAATGACAAAACAAACGGTCTCTTGTAATAAAAGAATATATATTGCAAAATCACATATATTTATGTGATTTAAGAATTTTGAGTGTAATTAGTCGCAAAAGACTCGCGTGAGAGTCGGTAAACATATACCTAGGTAACAGCTTTTGCAACCGTATAAAAAAAATATCGAGGACAATGCAAAATATAACTGGATGGATATACGAGCTCTGTTCAAAAATTCAAAAACTATCGCGAATTTTGTTTTTTCAAAAATTATTTATTTATTCATGAATATCAATTTTGTCCCTTTCAAAGTAATCCCCACCAGATATGACTTTCACTTGTTCAACATTTGTTCCAATCCTCGAAGCACTTAAAAAAATCACTTTTTGTGATTTTATGCACCTATTCCTTCGATGCCGTCTTTATCCCCTCAATCGCAGCGTAGCGTAAGAAAAAGTCACAGGGGGCCAGATCTGGGCAATACGGTGGTTGCAGCATTATTAGTGTGTTGTTTTTGGCTAAAAATTTGCACACAAGCAGGGGTGTTACCATAGTGCAAAAGCAAATTTTTGTTCTTCCACAAATTCGGGGGTTTCTAGCGGATTGTTTCGTACAAATTGCGCATTACTTGCAGGTAATATTCCTTATTGACCGTTATACCGTTCTCAGCAACTTCTCTAACGGTCATTCGACGATTGGCCAATACTATTTTCTTCACTTCATCAATGTTTTCGTCTGTTGTTGACGTGCACGGGCGTCCAGCACGCTCTTCGTTGTTCACATCTTTTCGGCCCTCTGAGTATTGGAGTTCATCGACAAAAATGAACCCGTTCTGTTTGTTTAATAGACCAAACTTATATCCAATTTAAAATGATGCATAGATGTTTAGTCTAAGCTCTTGAAATTCGAACGTGACAAAATCTCAAGTGTTACATAAACTAAGGAAGGTAATGCTAGAAAAATTTACTGAAGAATGTATAAGTTTAGTTAAAACTGTGAGACCGTTCGATTAAGTCGTTTTTAAAACTTAGAATAAAATTACTCCAACTCTATCAAGTTGTTTTATTTATCACCTGAAAATAAGAACTCTGCCAANTAATAAAATTCTCTTTCCTCTTTTAGTAGTTTCAGTTGTGTAAATTGGAACTTCAAACATCCTAACAATAATTTTTCACATGTGTGATCATTTTCCCTCAGATACTTTCGTTGCAAATTCATCGAATTACTACAAACCTATATCACCAAATAAAATGTTTACACATCAGTAATATGTATAATACTTTGCGTTGAAGACATTTATTGAGTGTATATGGATTTCAAATCAAAACTAACCAATTGGTACGTCTTTCTTTTCTTACGTGATAGGACTATCAAATATGTTATCCTATTGCTGAACGATTTACATGCAAAAAGGCACAAAAACAATTTTGCATGTAAACCTTTTTTGAAATGGATAAATGAAACCACTAGCACTCGTACTGAATTTTAATTGTTATTGAAAGGTCGTGATTAAATTTTAAAGTTTTATTCAACGGTAGAAACAGAAAAGGTGAAAGATCTAACTGATGGTTTTCAAGTAAAACCATTTAATTCAATACCTCTTTTAATAAGAGTATTGGTAAGCCAAGCGTAAGCCTATTTCAATTGTATGGATATAAGATCTTTTTTTTATATAAACAAATAAAATATTAATAAATATTGAAAAATGTAGTTTAGGTTTTACTTACTTCTTCGTAATCTAATCTTGCAGTGAGTGTAAACACTCCAGTTTGAGGATTCAAAGAGAAAATATCGTTTGCCCAGTCGCTAATAACTGTGTAGGTAACTTGAGCGTTAATTCCTAAATCGGGATCAGTAGCTTTGATCTGACCCACTTTAGATCCTCTTCCAGCATTCTCTGGAATGTCGAAAGAGTACGCGCTCTCGGAAAATACAGGTGTATTGTCGTTTGTATCGGTAACCTGTAAGCAGGAAGAAAAACATTGATTAATTCATATTCAACTTAAATTTTAAAAATATACTATTGCTTAAGGATGTTTGGGAGGTATGTTAAAATGCTACGAGACAAATAAAAATTTGGAAGAACGTTCCTCGTTCAATTCTAAAACTCCTGTAAAAATTACAAATCGATTCACTAAACCGTTAAAAAGTTAATGAAATTGTAAAAAATTGTAATTTTACACGTCATTTTATGGAGATTCGTTAACCGAATAGATTAAATTTATTTTTATTAACAGAAAAAAAGCTACCAGAAATTTCAAACTTTTATAATAAGTAACTTGAACTCTGGAGAATCACTTTAGCGTAAGGTTATTCAAATTCACTAAATGGTTATCGAGGAAAAAATGAAAAATTAGCTGAAAATCTCGTTTTTACTTGATAATATAATGATAATATTTATAATTGTCTGAAATAAATGCAATTTTAAAGTTTTAATTATTATTTAAACATATTAAAAAGTTTTACGCTCATTATTAATAGAGATTGAAACTAAATATTTTTTTGTTTCGAAGTTGAAATCAAGGCATATTCACTGCCAAAAGTCAGTTAAAAATTTTCCATATTATTCGTTATTTCTTATTTTATTCAAAGTTTTTGGTCAAATTCCAAATTTTCTCTCAAACCGTATACTTTTTTTTAGTATAGATAGTATTTATTTACCTCATGATATGCTGCAAAACCTAATTAATCACGAATTTCTAATTTTATGTACTCTTGTCTCCGATTGTACCTCCCAAACATCCTTAAATAACTCAAAAACAATTTTGCTTAATAATTATTATCAATTTTAGTAATATAACATTATAGATAAGTTTTAGCAGGATCATATCAGTAATATACCTATGTTCTGGGCATCTAGGTAAACTTACGCAATAAAATACGTTCTACTTGAGGGTATATATGTCCGATGATAACGGTAGGCACTTAAAATAAGTAACTATATAAGGAGTAAGTGCAAGGTTGCCACGAGCTGCTGTAATCACTTAAACTGTAATAAAGTTAACATTGACTTCCGCAATTCCGTACAAAGATTAGAGCGTACTTTATTGACGTCATGCTAACTGCCCATAAAATTTGAGGAATGTTCTCGATTCAACAGTAATGCTCAAATACACACACACTATGTAACCGTGTATTGTCCATATCGTTTTGCATCCGTTACACTGAAAACTGGTTTCTGCAAGCACACGCAAGCTTATGTCTACACTCAACAGTACAATTGCAGTTCCTTGCCCTTTTTTCGAACTAATTTTAAAAATTCAAAATCTATACTCTGATAAAGCAAAAGACAGGATGGATTATAACCCAATAAATGTTACGAGAAATTGAAACAACTTGTCATTTTTGAATCGGAGGTAATTCATCAAAATTGCAGTAAATGTTTCTAGACAACTGATACTTTCTTTTTTTTACGATGTTGTATACTATGTAATTGTTTATATTGTCGACCAGGGATCATTAATAATCGCAAATGATAATCAATAAACGTCGTAAGGATTTTTAAATACATTTAAAAATGAAAAGTGCAGTACCTACACATACGGGTCCACATTTACAACCACAAATACCGCAATATTACTGTAATTAATTGAATGGGCTGTAACATTCATTAAACGTATTGTAGGGAAAGAGCGAATGTAAAGATAGGAGACGAAAAATTAGAAGAAAGGGCTGATTTTAGATATCTAGGAAGTCAGATAAGTCAGGACGGAAGGAGTAGTAGGGATATAAAGCAGAGGATAGCGCAGGGTCGTGTCGCCTTTAATAAAAAGAAGCCACTTCTATGTTCGCGAACGGTTAATTTAGAAATTCGGAAAAGGTTGTTAAAGGTGCATATTTGGAGTGCGGCATTGTACAGGTGCGAAACATGGACAGTGGGCGCGGCGAAAAAAAAAGGTTAGAAGCGTTCGAAATGTGGTGTTATAGGCGAATGATGAGGATAACGTGGACAGAAAAGGTTACAAATGAAGAGGTTTTAGAAAGAATAAGAGAACAGAGGACTCTATGGAAGTCAATAAGAAATAGGCGAAATAGGTTGGTAGGACACCTTCTCAGACATGAAGGTCTAGTCAGAGACATATTAGAGGCAGAAACAGGAGTTAGGAGGGGTAGAGGTAGACCTAGATT